GCGCGGCGTACTGAACCGCAAACAGCCACACAAAATGGGGGGCAGCTGCATGCATTATGGACGTACGAGCGACGTCCATGACCATGCCAATGCGGCGCTCAGCAATCCCATTTTGCTGTGGAGAGTCCGGAAGCGTGAAGGTCTGGCGGATGCCCTTTGCACGACAGAAGGCCCCCTGACGGGCAGAGGAAAACTCCCCGCCTCTGTCAGAGTGCAGACGCAGAACAGGAAAGTCCGAGCCGAAACTCTCTCTGAGCTGGAGACGAGCTGCGCGGATCCAGTCGATCAACACCTCAGTGACATCACCCTTGCTGCGCAAGGGGAAGACTGTGGTGTAACGCGAGTAGTCGTCAACCACCAACAGGAAGTAACGCTCGTGCCCTTGTCCACGGACGCGGGCGGGGCCGCACACGTCCATGTGGAGGGTCTGTAGCGGGGCCTCTGTCGGAGGAAACTCGGAGGAGTGAGGGGCAGCGCGCTGTCGCCCCTCGACGCAGGGGACGCAGGTAGGGCCAGGCCCCGGAGGTAGGGGAGGGAGAGACCGAGGGAGACCAGAGACAAGGACACGGGAGGCCATGCCTCGAAGACGAGGCAGGGAGGGGTGACCAAGGCGGTGGTACCAGAGGAGAGTCTGGTGGGACAGGAGACAACACGAGGAGGAAGCAGACTCAGGACCAGACCTGGACGCTGCAGCAAACACCTGACTCGACGCAGCTACCTGGGCAGACTCAGCAGCCGGAGGAGACTCAGTAGTAAGGGTGTACAGGCTTGACCCTGGCCGACGCGTGAACGTGGCCAAGTGTTGGCCTGTCCGAGCACACGTGCAGTGGGTCACTCGCTGACTCGCAGGAGTGAACTGGTCAACCCCCCTATCCTGGAGGTCCGCTCCACACACCAAGTTCGTAGAGAACGAGGGGAGGTAGAGACCTGACAGGGTGTCAGAGGGGGCTGCCGGGCACGGTAAGACAATGGAGAAGCTAGCAAGGACAGGACCCCCAGAGGGGTCTGCCAGGGAGACTGCAACCGGCCGACTGAGCGGCGTAAGAGTGGTGCAGTCTCGAAAGAAGGAGCGAGACGCACCCGAGTCAAGGGTGAAGGTGTGGATGGCCTGAGCTGACGTAGTGCCTGAGAGAGCAGACTCACCAGCACCTGGGGCAGCTGACGCACTGGCACCTGGGGCAGCAGACGCACTGGCACCTGGGGCAGCAGACTCACTAGCACCTAGAGCAGCAGCCTCACCAGCACCTAGAGCAGTGGCCTCAATGCCCGGGTCAGGCGGTAGACACAGGTAACAGTCACCCTCAACACTAGTAGTCACAGAATACATGGCAGCAAGGATAGCATCATAGTCAGGATCAAAAACGGCAACTCACACCCTAGACAGATCTCCCCAGCGAGGGATCTCTGACGCCTCAGGTAACTGGCGATGCCACGCATCCGTCAGGCGACTGAAGCAGCGCTAGGTGGAGTGCGGGCCTCTGCACTGCTCACCAGCTCGGTCGCCGGTACGGAGGACGTAAGTGCAGGGGCCAAAACCCCCACCGCGCTGACGCACAGTGTACCACTCACGAAGCTGCTGAGGGGACAGGGTCACACCACTCCGCTGCTGTAAGCGCGGACCATCACCTGAGCCAGTTTTCTGCGCAGAGTCGCGACCCGCTACACCACCGCCGCCGTCGCCGCCACCGCCGCCTCCTCCACCTCCACCTCCTCCGCCACCTCCGCCGCCTCTGCTCCCTCCGCCACCACCACCGCCACCGCCGCCTCCACTGCTGACTCCGCCGCCGCCACCCCCGGCACTACTCCCACCACCACCCCCACCCCCTCCACTGCCTCCACCACCACCTCCACCGCCCCCTCCACTGACTCGAAACCAACGAAGTCGACGGCAGCAGCAGAGGCAACAGAGGGCAAGAGGGGGGAGGGAGAACACCCCTCAAAGACGAGGGTGCGAGGGTCACCACGATAGGCTCCTACAGCGACTATGCTCTTCTCTGCCGCTAGGAGGGCCTTCTCGAGGAGGTTAACGGTGAGAGTGGTAGGGCAAACTGAGAGGAAGTGGTCCCTGACTACGCGGAGAGAGTCAGGGAGCGGCATGACTATGTAGTAGAGGGTGATGTACATGAGGGGGGGGGTTCTTGGCGCAGAACTCAGCAGGAAGCGCAGTGCGGTAGCGAGTGTCACTAGTGCGGAGGTGAGTAATGAGGTTAGCGATTGTGGGAAAGGCAGCAAGGTCAGGGAAGAGGTACGGTAGCATGAGGCGGCTCAGTGCAGCAGTGGCAGGGGAAGAGTAGCGTGCAACTACAGCGTCGTACAAGGTCTGAGCACTCTTGTACTGGCTAAAGTGTGCACGCTCAGTGGTCGGTAAGTGGCGGCGCACAGCAAGGCGAGCAGCAGCATCACGCGTGGCCCACTCTGAGCAAACAGTGGCGTCAGCATCAGCAACAGGGGCAGGAGAGGCACCAGAAGTGAGGTCAAACAGGGAGAGACCGTCTGCCCTATCGCACTGTAGGAAAAGTTGCAGATCATCTACCCAGACCTTTAAGTCAACTGCCCGACCCTCAGCGTCAAAGGTGAGAACACTAGGGGAGGCCATGACAGCAGTAGACAGGCAGTGAGTACAGTGGGGCAGGGCAGTGCAGTGGCAGAGACGCTGCTCTTACCAGGCAAGTGAGGCGGTCTCGGGCAGGCTGACAGGCGGCAGCGCCTCGGCTGCGGTGCGGCTCGGCGGCTCGGCTGCTGGGCGGCTCGGCGGTCGGGCGGCTTGGCTGCAGGGCGGCTCGGCTGCTCGGCAGCTCGGCGGTCGGGCGGTTCGGCTGCAGCGCAGCTCGGCGGTCGGGCGGCTCGGCTGCTCGGCGGCTCGGCTGCTCGGTGGTTGGGCTGCTGGGCGGCTTGGGCGCTGGGCGGCTGAGCGGCGACGGGGCCGTGGAAGGGCGGCGACGGGGCCGCTGAAAGGGCGGCGACGGGCCGCTGAAAGGGCGGCGACGGGGCCGCTGAAGGGCGGCGACGGGGCCGCGGAAGGGCGGCGACGGGGCCGCTGAAATGGCGGGCGGCGACGGGGCCGCTGAAAGTGGGGGCGACGGGGCCGCTGAAAGGGCGGTGACGGGGCCTCGGAAGGGCTGCTACGGGGCCGCGGAAGGGCGGCGTTGGGGCCGCGGAAGGGCGGCGACGGGGCCGCTGCAAGGGCGGGCGGCGAGGCCGTGGAAGGGCGGCGACGGGGCCGCAGAAGGGCGGCGACGGGGCCGCTGAAAGGGCGGCGACGGGGCCGCTGAAAGGGCGGCGACGGGGCCGCGGAAAGGGCGGCGTCAGGGCTGCCTAAGGGCGGCGACGGGGCCGCAGTAAGGGGCGGCGACGGGGCCGCTTAAAGGGCGGCGCGACGGGGCCGCAAGGGTGGCGCGACGGGGCCGCAAGGGCGGCGCGACGGGGCCGTTCGGGGCCGTAAGAGGGGCCGCTAGAGGCCTCGAGGGGTAACGACACGGGGCGCGACTCGGGCAGGGGCCAAGCGCGCTCCGGGCAGGAATTAGAAATCGGTGGGCCCTAGGAACAGTTCCCACGAGGGAACCAGCTCTATACCATGTGAAGATTAGAACGAGAGAATGATTGAACTATGAAAGAGTTGGGTACAAGTACTAACCCTAATTGGGTTGTACCCCTTATGGGCTACCCCACTACAGCCTACACAAATGTATAAGCTATAATGTTCTGACATGTAGTACTGCACCCTGGCGTCGGCGGTGTCTTTAGCAGGTCCCGCGTAGCACCCGTCAAAGTAGTGGAACATCTGTGCGTTTTGCAGCAGCAGCTCCAACTTGAAGCTCCACGTATAGAAGTCTCTGTCTTTATTATTTATATGCTCAGGAACCTTGATTGAGCATAGAGAATTGCTTCTTCGTTGGGATGGGAAGTCTTAGGAGTTGGGCTATTTGTTTCAAGGCAGAAGGTGTGCAGGGCGGTATTATGGCCAGTTGAGGTCAGTTGAGAGGGTTGGGAAGATGTTCTTGCTTCAACATTCTGCAACGTTTGGAGTCTTTACTCCAAGTTGTTAGTCGCTGAAGCATTTGTGCAAGGACGGCAGTTTCAATTGTCGTCATTTCCTCGTTTGTCACAGCCGGGTTGGGCTGCGCTACAGCGGTCAGATTCGTCTGTCCTCGAGATCCTCGGGCCATCCTTACACGCGAGCGTGTGCCGGACGCCACCTTTTGATCGCTGAAAAGTTTGAAGGTGGTAGTGCAAAGGATTCCCAAGTCAATCTCATTCTATGTTGCGATCAAAAGTTGATCGTAACCATGATCACCTCGACAAGGTTCGCACACAACTGAGTGGTAGTGGTGGGCCCTTGACCTCAAATCAGAGTGAATGTAAAATGATTGAGAGGATTAATACATGCAAATACAAGCATATAAGTAAGAGTACAGATGGAATACGAAACGGCCTAACTAGCCATGCACTCTAAGGAATACATTCCCTTATTACAGCGAAAATTCCAACTATGTGACTCCAGACGGTTACGAGACCGTTCGGGCAGATCCTCGCCACTGGTGCTGCATGATGCTGTCTGCCCTGATGGTCCAGATGTTACGTAACCGTACGTGACTCATCGCGTCATTCTGCCTCTTCGCGTTCAGCCTCGATATTGTGTGCTCCACTTGCTGCGGATAGGAGTGCACAGTGCCTTTCTCATTTTAGTATTTGTAACAACAGGAACGTTGGCATGGGGGGTTATCGGCGCACTCACCCGCTACACAAACAAGCCCTTTTATCCCAGTGGTTAGCGACTGTGATTCTGACAAGTGCGTACAGTGCACCATTACCACGCACGATACTTGCCTCGACTACTGTTCCCGCCACTGTTCACGACGCAACCCAACCTCATGGTTTGTCTGGTAACCCACGCTCCAGACCTTCGGCGCTAAACCCCAAATGGAACCCGTGCATGCCACTATCGTTGCCCATTGCACCAAATTTTGTGCCTCAGCTCTAGGCCCCATACACTTCATAGCATGAAGGCCCCATATACTTCAGTGACTTTTGAGTCAACTCAAAAGTCACCCCATGTACTCCATGCACTTCATGCCCCATTGCAATTACATTGTCCCATTGCAATTACATTGTCCCATTGCAATTTCATTGTCCCATTGCAATTACATTGTCCCATTGCAATTACATTGTCCCATTGCAATCCCATTGCTATTGCTTCCAAGAATATAGCTGTGGAATGCCATGCAATCTTCGTCTCATCTCACATCTCGTCATTTCGTCTCATGTCTCTATTCATATATCATATCTCTTCATCTTAGCTCATACCTCTTCCTCTCAGCTCATACCTCTTCCTCTCAGCTCATACCTCTTCCTCTCAGCTCATACCTCTTTCTCTCATCTCACATCTCTTCCTCTCATCTCACATCTCTTCATCTCATCTCACATCTCTTCATCTCATCTCACATCTCTTCATCTCATCTCACATCTCTTCCTCTCATCTCACATCTCTTCCTCTCATCTAAATTTTCTTCCTCTCATCTCACATCTCTTCCTCTCATCTCACATCTCTTCCTCTCATCTCACATCTCTTCCTCTCATCTAAAATCTCTTCCTCTCATCTCACATCTCTTCCTCTCATATCACATCTCTTCCTCTCATGTAACATCTCTTCCTCTCATCTAATATCTCTTCCTCTCATCTAACATCTCTTCCTCTCATCTAACATCTCTTCCTCTCATCTGGCATCTTTTCCTCTCATCTAACATCTCTTTCTCTCATCTCACATCCCCTCTCTTTGTAACTCTCTGCCCTGCTCACTTCCAAGCTTGTGTTCCCTCTCCTTTTCCCCTTCTTTCCCTCTCTTCCACTCTCTTCCCCTCTCACTTTCCTGTTGGTTTCCCTTTCCTTCCCCTCGTTCCCTCTCGCCCCTCTATCATCCCTTCTCTCTACACTCAATGCATGTGCCATGGCCTCTCTCGCCGTGCCACAATAACATGTGGTCTCAACTCTCTTCCAAAAGTCCTTGTAAGAACTCTCCACCTCGCCACCTTGTGTTCGCATGTCATTACCTTTTATGCCCTTGTCTCTCAAATCCTTTTTATCCCCATGTGTCATATCTTACTGGTTGTCTTACTGATTGATTTTAAGTTTCAAACTCTATACTGAGTGACCTTCTATCATTGTGTTCTTCCTCAGCCTGAGAGAGTATGGAGTGGGGGAAGATGCCCTTGTCCTTTCAGGGTACCAAGAGGCAACAGACGCACTGAGAGTGGCATTGAAAGCTCAGATAAGTGCACTGGAAGGGCAGCTAGAAGAGACAAGGAGGGAGCTTGAGGAGACAAGGAAAGGACCAGAGGAGGTTGATAGAACAAGAGCAATGGATTCAAAAGAATTGAGAGGGCGAGTGGAGAAAGAGCGAGAGGTAATGAATGTGAAGGAGTTGGTAGTAGCAGTGAAGGGTTTGTTTATAGCAGTCAAAGGGGAGTTGGTGGGGGAGATGGTAGCAGTAGGCAAGAAAGAGCTGGTCGAGATGAGCGGAGGAGTGGTTACAGTAAAGGGGCAGCAGCTTGAACCGGACAGCCTGCACTCAAACGAGAAGGTGGAGATGGTTTGAACGTGGGAGCGAGTGGGGGGTTGGCAGCAATGGAGCAGTGCCAAGTGCCAACGCATGGGGATCCCGATGAGACGGATGAGGAGAAGGACATTGCGGAAGGGATCAGAGCTGGGTAAGGCTCTCACTCAGTGTCAAAGGAAGTAGCCATGTCAGAGCACCTGCAGGTAAGAGCTCTAGTATTGTTAATAGCTGTTGATATCTTCATAACAATTGCCGGAATACCGATGGGCCTTAATTTGCTTTCTGATTTCTGAAGACATTGCTTGGTGATCCATCCAATGGTTTGTGCTTCCATATTGTTTAGCCGTCAATGAAGGAAGGAGCCTCTTGTTATGCAGAGCAAAGGTAGTGAAGCTTAGAAAATAGGAAGGACTAATATCTTCAGGTAAACTCTGCTTTTCAATATGTGTGGGGAGGTCACTGTTCAACATTTGTGCAGTTGTTTGTCAATCCGTCATGTCTCATCATCATCTTATTAATCTTGTATCCAATGACCTCCTGCCCTTGTTTCCCTTCCCAGCTAGTGAGAAAAGGGAGCAACTGTGGAAGCTCAGATAAGTGCACTTGAGTGGCAGCTGAGGCAGACAAGGAGGGGATCGGGGGAGACCCAGAGAGAGCAAGAGGATTTGAGGACGAAATTGGCGGAGACAAGGAGGACATAAAAGGAGACAAGGAAGATGTTAGACGAGACAAGGAAAAGACTCGAAGCGACGCGGAAGGTCATTAGGAAAATTTACGAAGACTATGGATACGATATGTGGGACACTTGAGTTTGCAACTGGGGGAGAGAGAACGAAGGAAATGGATTTCAAGGGGGAGCTGGTAGTAGCAACAGGAAAACTTGTCACCATAAAGGGGCAGTTTCTCTAACACAATGGCTTCTTGTGAAATGATGTTAAGAGCTCCGGTAAGAAGGATGTGAGCGGGCTGAAGATGAGTGGGCAGTCGTGGAGCAGTGCCAAACGCTAAGGCATGAGGAGCTCGATGTTGAAGATCAACTGACGACGAGCAAATGCGATTTTTGAGGCGCCTCAAAAGATTGGCAGCACTAGAGCGGTAGTAGCACACACCAAGCCACGAGGAGCTCGATCGTGAGGAGCAAATCAGAATGCGTACAGGCGAATGCCAAGTCGTTGTGGCAGGTGTATTGGCTGCTAGTCAATTCTTCTAACTCTTCATGAGCTTGGCACTCTTTGCTTTTCCCACTTAAGCATTTTCTCTAGAGAAATTATTATACGAGACTCCTGATCTGAGAGAGAAAGAGTTGGTCATGTGGCCACCATAATTCACTTCAAGGTGCTTGTCTGAGCCGTGATGTGCTAATGGGTCTAATTTGTGTTGGCAAAGAATGGTGTAATCTAAAGTACCATTTCACACCACGATTTTTGGAAAAGTAGGATCGTTTCCAGTTTGAGTAGGAATTGGCCTAGAATTCTTATCGCGTACCGACAGATATGTGAATTACTAGGTGTAAGCTACCACTCATAGATTTTGCGAGCCAAGCCTCCACCTCAACTGCTCCACACGGTGCTATGAGCCATCATGAGAAAGCTTGACTAACGAAGTCGTTGTGAGTTGGAAACTCAGGCAAACTCTCGTGTTAGAAACTCTCGTGTTAAGACGGGTGTGTGAGGTAGGCACATCAGCTGAGCCCTTCAATCATCACAGCATGAAATACTCCCAAGGTGTGGAATACCAGCCGCGAGGCGTAAATTCTCTTATCACAAGGCCTGAGTCCCCAATGCAAGGCATAAGCTCTCTTCCCAAGGCATGATTCCGCAGAGTCGATGTAAGCACTTTACACGATTGGTAGGTCCTAGTAAGTACGAGCGTCTCTCATCTCTAATTAGCTGAGCATCGATCGTTTACGCGTATCTCGTTGCATCTCATCATTTCAGTCATAAAACCGCAGAGATCAGAAAGGGACATATCACCTGGTTCAGATATGAACGCACACATCCCTCAATGAGTCAAATCCGGATTTTTTTCTCTTTCTCTTTTCTTCGTTACCTCATCGCACTCACCTTGTGCCTTACCCTGCTCCTACTACCCTCGCCCCCCTAGCTTCTCTCGTCATTAATTGACAAACTTCTCTCACGCACGTCCCTTCATCAGTCGCAATCATTCGCAACGCTCCAGCTCGTTCTGCTCTCCACCATCTCAAATAACCTTTTTAGTATCAATATATGATTCGTTATACGTTCACGTCGTCTAACCTTTGGTATACCACTCACCCTTAACGTCGCTATTCAAATCAACCTTCCTTTTTGCTAATTTCATGTGGTTGTGGTGCTTGCAAGTGCAGTTTCGGAATGCGAGGAGACAACGAGGGTGTTGGGAGTCCATCACAGCACCAAGCGGGAACCGACGGGCTGGTGCTGGCGATGGAGATGAGATTGAGGGCGCTGGAAGGGGAGATGGAGGAGACACGGAGGGGCTCTGAGAATGCTGAGAGGAGAAGAGAAGAGGAGATGATTTTAGTGAGAGGGGAACTGGTAACAGTACGAGGTGAACTGGTGGCACTAAAGGGGGAACTGGTGACAGAATAGGGAGAATCCAAGACAGTAAAGGGAGAGCTGGCACTAGTACTAGGTGAGCTGGCGACAGTGAAAGTGGTGCCAAGGGAAGGAGGGTCGACGGAAGTGAAAAAGGAGTTGGTTGAACAGAAAGTGGAGGAAACGATGGGCATGGAGGGGGAGGTGCAGAGGTCCAAGAAAAGGACGAATGAGGTAGCAGCGATGCCGTGCACGGCACCAAAGCGGCACGATACAACTATGGAGCTGAAGGGTATCTCTGGCCTCACAGTCACCCTCCTTCATTACATGTCCACCATGACTCACCTCAAGCACGAGCACATCAATGGGTCATCAAGGTTCTCCTATGAAGGCATCAAATACCTCTACAATCTGCCTGTGCTGGAGCGCCTGGAGCTGAAAAGCAGCGTAGTAACTGACAGCACATTGGAGGGCATTGAGAGGGTACAGACCTTGAGGTTTCTCTACCTCAACCACACGGAGGTGACTGATCCTGGGTTGCAGCAATTTACTATCTCACTTCCCTCAAGACTTAGATCTTTCACATGTGCTGGAAGCTGATATGCGCTGGCATGGTGCACGCTGGGAAGCTAACAAGCCTTGAGGAGCTATATCTGTATGGAAGTGGAGTAAAAGGCGATGGGCTGCAATTTCTGACATCTTTGAGAAGGCTCAAAACGCTCATCCTCCCAAATACGATCACTGATGCTGGTATGGAACACATCCAGCGTCTAACTGCTCTGGAATATTTGGATTTGAACATGTCTGTAGTGACGGAAAAGGGCCTAAAGCTTTTGGGGAGGTTATATTGTTTGAAGCATATTAAAGCGTACTGTTGAGGATCATTCTTCGTAGTGTGGAAGTGCTTAATCGTCTTCCTCTTGGCGTTATTTGTGGTGATTAAGACCAAGGATTTTTTTTTTTTTTTTTTTTTTCGGACCATGACTATCGGAACATCTGCTGGCATGGTGCGTGTGGGGAGGTTAACGCGGTTCAAGCTTGGATTCTTGGCCCCTATATTTGTAACATGGTTCCTGGTTGGGAGGGATGGCGATGAGAGGTGTGGGGATCAACAGTGAACAACAAGGCCGAGAAATCTTGTACAAAGTGACAGAATTGGATGTATATAATTGTTGAGTGATATTATTAATTTTCCACTTCTTGTAGTCAAATCATATTTCACCATTCACAAATATTTATGTTTTTGCAGCATGAGACACATCCAGTGTCTTGTCATGCCTGTGCCATAAATGTCAATGTGTCCCAATTTTTTGCTGTGCATTCAATACACAAAATTCCAGAAAGAGTGGTTATCTGTGAACAAGTCAAAACGTCACCGCATACTACCTCGTTGCTGGTTATCACCCATTCTCACGAACTGACTATTGTCTTGGTTGTTGTGTATCCTCGTGTGAGTTGCCTGTATCCTGGTGTGAGTTGCCCTGCCCTAAAAAATTGACTCAACGAAGTGTGTTGAGGGGCTGAAACACCAAATAACATATCAGTTCTTCGCAAAACCTTGTTCTGTGGGGCAG